GAGTAGCTTCACTTAGCATTTGACACCGCACATTCCCGAAGGGCCCTGTGGAAGCTCCGCGTGATTGAACGCTCCTGTTCAATATATACTTACTGAGCATCTAAGCCAGAGGAAGTTCAGGTGCTGAGAGACAGGGAAACGCAGAGAAGACTGCTTGAAGCCGCACTGAACTGTTTTGCACTTCGGGGTGCGAGCCGTAGTTCTGCAAACCCCAGCGTGCGGAACAGCACGATGTTAACGCAGAGTGGCGGGTGCTCCGTAGGCGGGGATGAGGAGTAACGGGGAGACAGACGCTGCCTATCAGGGAGAACAAGGAATCGTAATACTGCGGTTTTCAGGTCAGGCAACGGGGACGGGTGATGCCGTTCACAGAAATAGGGCTATCAGGTAGAAAATGTGGCAAGTTTGGTTTTGGATATTAGAGAGAGGGGCGGGTGGGTTTCTAGGGGATGATAGCAGGTGGGCAGTTTGAAATCTGGGTCTAAGAGTAGAGCCGAGGGTTTCTGATAATTAGAAGGTCATTGGTGACTTTAGGAAATAATTTCAGTAGAGGCAGAGGCAGGAGCCCCATGGAGAAGACAGGTTGAGGTATAACTGCTGGAGGTGGGAGGGGTTGGGGGGAGGTGATCCTGTGCTCTTCCTTAGGTCTGAGGGTGGGGAAGCAGTGCGCTGAGCTGCAAGAGGATTTTGAGGTGGAGGGGGATTAATTTAAGGAGCTCCCCAAAGAAGACTTTGTTGTACAGGATTAGGTGAAATCACCTGTGAGTGAAAAGGATGAGGCGGATTTGGTGCTAAAAGAAAGCAGAGGTTTGGGACAGCAGATATGGAAAGGAGCCAAGGAAAAGGTGAACCAAAGAGGCTCCGATCAATCTTAGGAATTTTCAGTGACGCCAGTCAGCAGATTTGTGGCTTTCCAGTAGTTCTTGGACAGCAGAAAATAGGATTGGAATGAGTAGTCAGGGCTGGGAATTAGAAGTCAAGAACATGGGGAGAATTGAGACACTCGGGTGTTAGCTGGTCATTGTTTCAGAGGTGCAGAGGCGAGAAAGACCCTGTGGGCAGGCTGTTAACTAGTTGTGGCAGTAGGTGGGAGAGATTGTTAGAGCTAACAGTTCAAGTGGCAGTTTGGCACGACTGATTGTTTTCCATTATCTGTCACTTATTGCTGTTGAGGGAGCTCAGGCACACAACCACCAGAGGGACACCTGAAGACTTTCTCCCGCAGCTGGCCTGGCCTTGTGGCATTTGGCTGTTTGCTGCCTGTTTTGCTCATCTCTGAAACAGGAGTTAGTATAACCTGCTTTAACCTTGGTTTGGTGCTTTACCAGTAATTCTGTGCTATGTGTAATCTTCTATTTCATTAAGCATTGTTCTAACTTAATGGAAACATTTTGGGACAGCATTTTGGAAATGCTGCAGTTATGGATACATATTTTATGAGCCCCATTTACTCCCTGTCATGAATTATTATAATTTAGTTTAAGCTCCTTCTCCACATGTTTTTCTCCTTTCATTTTTTAAAGTCAGATTTTCACTTTCTTTATTAAAGCAGGTATGGAGAAAACTCTGCAGGACGAGATTGAAGCCATTCTGCGGGAGAGAATTATGGTGCTTGATGGAGGAATGGGGACCATGATCCAGCGACACAAGCTGAGTGAGGAAGACTTCCGGGGACAAGAATTTAAAGATCATGCCAGGCCCCTGAAAGGCAACAATGACATTTTAAGTATAACTCAACCCGATGTCATTTACCAAATCCATAAGGTAAAGCACCCCCAGGTTCTTATATTTTCATTCTATGATTCTGCAGTCCCTTTCATGTCCTGAGGACTGACCACTGTATCAAGTGCTCTGGAGGATACAGAAGAAAGAGGTGATTTGTTCAGAAAGTAGGTGTTGGGCACCAAGTAAAAGTCATGCACTGTATTGAACATTCAGGATAAGGAGATGAGGAAGGTAGGTTTCTGCCTTTGAGGCATTTAAACTGCAGTGAAAAACCATAAAATCCTGGCTAGATCAAGGTTTTCACGTACATTGTCTTATTCAAGTCACCACAACAGCCCTGATGAAATGAAACTCAAAGATAGTTATTATTCTCATTCTGTAGATTTGGAAACGGAGCACACAGAGGTTAAATAACTTGCCTGATGTTACGGAGGTTTACTGACTTGAAATCACATGTTTTTTCGTGCCGTTTTTCTGCCTAGTGAACATAAAGAGATCAGAGGCAAGTAACTGGGTCTTGTTAGACTTTTAAAATTTAAAACGAAATATAGAACTAAATTATTTTGTAGGTTATCATATGAACTTCATAGAATTAATGACTAGAAGAGATAATAAGGTGATTTAATCTGTTTTCCTGGTCTGGATTCAATCTGGAGGACAAAGCATATTTACCAGTTAATTGAGAAAGTTTTTATCTTCTGGAGAAGGGCATTATTTCAGACTTTTTTTTTAAATTGACCTATAATTGACGAGTAGCATTATATTCAGATGTACAGCATGTTTTGATATTTTTATATATTGTGAAATAGTCACCGAGTAAGTGTAGCTAACATCCATTACTATACATAGCTGCAATTTTTTTTTTTCCTTGTGATGGGGACTTTTAAGATCCACTCCCTTAGCAACTTTCAAATATACAATACAGAGGATTAACTTCAGTCACCATGCTGTCCGTTACATCTTCATGACTTATTTATTTTATAACTGGAAGTTTATACTTTTTGACTCCCTTCAGCCATTTCCCCCACCCTCCCACCTCTGGCAACCTCCAGTCTATCTGTGAGCTCGGTTTATTTGTTTGTTCAGAGTCCACATATAAGTGAGATCATGCATTATTTGTCTTTCTCTGATTTCTTTCACTTAACATAATGCCCTCAAGGGCCATCCATGAATGGCAAGATTTCCTTCTTTTTAAAGTTTTATTATACTCCATTTCATGTACATACAACATTTCCTTTATTCATTCATCCATCAGTGGACACTTAGATTGTCTCCATATGTTGGCAGTTGTAAATAATGCTGAAGTGAACACGGGGGTGCATTTATGTTTTTGAGTTAGCGTTTTTGTTTTCTTTGGGTAATACCCAGAAATTGAATTGCTGGGTCATGTGATAGTGCTATTTTTAATTTTTCGAGGACCCTCTACACTGTTTTCTATAGTTGCTGTACCAATTTACATTCCCACCCACAGTGCCCGGAGTTCCCTTTTCTCCACATCCTCACCAACACTTGTTATTTCTTGTCTTTTGATAATAGCCATTCTGACAGGTGTGAGGTGATACTTCATTGTGGTTTTGGTTTGCATTTCCCTGATAATAAGTAGTGTTGAGCGTCTTTTCATTTACCTGTTGGCCCTCCATATGTCTTCTTTGGAAAAATATCTATTCAGATTTTCTGCCTATTTTTTAATTGAATGGGTTTTTTAGCTCTTGAGTTGTACGAGTTCTTTATTTTGGATATCCTTTGATATGTGATTGGCAAATATCTTCTCCTGTTCAATGTGTTGCCTTTTCATTTTGTTGATGACTTCCTTTGTTGTGCAGGTGCTTTTAGTTTGATGTTTATTTTTGCTTTAGTTGCCTTTCAGATTCTTCCTAAGGGGGAAAAATCACTTAGTTCATTTAGTGATTAAATGATTCATTGAGTGGGAAGGGATCAGTCTGTTGGGTGGTGAAGACTTTGTTCTAGATAAGATGCAGAATGGTTTTCATCTGAGAACCATTCCTTTCCTTTGGTCATAGTGGGAATTGTAGGTTCTGGAAGATTTAAAATCGGTCCTTAAAGAGGTTTGCTTCTGCAGGTTTTTCTGCTAGGCCTGAGAGTATATAGTCAAGTCACATTATAAAATGCCAGTGTATTGTAGATCGGGAGTGCCATTGTTGGTGTGAATTGCTTGGTGTGGTTACAAACATCAGTTTTTAGGATGTAGTTGATGAGATCATATGACGTACCATGCCATGTGGCTTTGTCATTATTCACGTGGACTATCACTAAAGTGTTGGCTTCCTGAGGGCAGGAGTTTATGCCCTTTTTTTTCCTCTTTTTTAACTTTTTTTATTGAGGTATAGTCATTTTACAATGTTGTATCAAATTCCAGTATAGAGTATAATTTTTCAGTTATACATGAACATACATATATTCATTGTCACATCTTTTTTGCTGTGAGCTACCACAAGATCTTGTATATATTTCCCTGTGCTATATAGTATAATCTTGTTTATCTAGTCTGCATTTTGAAATCCCAGTCTTTCCCTTCCCACCGCCCGCCCCCTTAGTTTATGCCCATTTTTCACTACTGAATCCTTACCACCTAGAGCAGTATCTCTCATGTAGTAGTCAGTAAATACATTTTGAGAGAATGAATATTTGTCGTATATATTAGGCAGGCATCTAGGTAGAACAACAAGTTTCCCAGGAGAAGTAATAAAGCAAAAATGGCCATAAATACAATAAAGTACACCTGGCTATCCTGTTCACGGGGGAAGTGTTGACTAGCTGGAGTTCTCTGAATGCAGAGACCATGTCGTGTTACAAAGAAGAGAAGACTGGGTTATTGTCACACTTAGTTATTTCTAGTGGAGTTACTGACCATAGAGCTAATTCCCTGGTGTTTAATTTTAATGGAATGCCCAAGTTCCACTGGTAGTGTAAGTACCTGACCGAGCATTTTTGATTGTTATGTGATTGCCTGACGGTAAGTTTTTGATTGTGGAGACATCCACTTCAAAGGCATCATCTCAGTAAACACAGTGCCAACTGTGTGGCACAGCTGCTGTGTAAGCCGCCAGACAAGGAACAGGCCTCCCCGGCCCGTGAGTTGCCCCTTGGTTTGCGTTTCCCAGCTCTTCTGCCGACAGTCTCCATCCAACTCACTACTGGAAAATCGAGAATCGAGAACACTCACCAGATTGAGGTTGAGATGGTGTCCAAAGAGTGAAACAAGGAAGAAAGGTTTCAAGCGAAGAGAACAGGAGGGCACCAAGGTCCTCCAGGTTTAGGAGGGGTGCAGAGCTGGTTTGGAGGCACCCGGGTGTGGGTCTGAAAAGTGTGGTCAGAGTCGAGATCTCAGAGAGTGCCGTTCTCAGTGTGATTCTGATTGTGCTGACACCGGGAGATGGCGGAAGAACAAAGGGACGTTTGTATGGGGCCATCGTGTGCCAGGCACCTGGTGTTACCTGTGTCATCGTGTGGCCACCCTGTGAGGTCGGGCTATACTTTCAGATGAGGAAGCCGAAACTGAGAGAGTTTAAGGCACTTAGTTCAGTTCGCACTGTGTGAACTTTGTCTGAATTCAATTCCGTGTTTGTTTATTTATACCACATGCCTTTCCGTGCTATCCCTCTATCTGTTCGTATCTCTAGCCTCTGTCTAGTGCAGCACCTTAGACTTAGTAAGGGTCAAAAGGTGTTTGGTGGTAGCCAAGTTTATTGTTAGGGGACAGGGGTACTAAAACTCGTAGCATTGACATTACTGTCTCTTCTTGAAGGATTACTTGCTGGCGGGAGCAGATATCATTGAAACAAATACTTTTAGCAGCACTAACATTGCCCAAGCTGACTATGGCCTCGAACACTTGGTAAGAACTTCATTTTACCTTGTATCTAAAGTATTCATAAGTTTTTGCCGCACTGGCAGTTGCTAGTGAGAAAACCAGCCAAAGCTGCAGAGTCAAGCTCATGCCTAGTTATCTATTGTCTGTGATAAGACAGCCCATTCATTTTCCAGTTGGCTTCTTTCACGGGCAAGTAATAATCAAATGCAACTGATGTTTATTATAAAAGCATGATTGGCCATGTGCACAGTTTTGTGAAGCCTTTTTAAGTTGGGTGACAGATTTGGTTTCCTTTTTTTAAATTGTGGCAAAATATATGTAACATAAAATTTACCATTTTAACCATTTTTAACTATAATTCATTGGCCTTAAGTACCTTCCCATTGTGTGCTGCCATTCTCACCATCTATCCTTGGAGCTCTTTTCATCTTATAAAACTACCCATTAAACAATAATTCCTAGTCTTTCCCTCCCCCACCCCCTGGGAACCGTGATTCTACTTTTTGTCTTTATGAATTTAACTCCATAGATGGCTCATATAAGTGGACCCATGCAGTATTTGTCCTTTTGTGCCAGGCTTGCATCACTTAGATTGTAGCTTGTGTCAGAATATCCTTCCTTTTAAAGGTTGTATAATACTCCATTGTGTGTATTACCACATTTTGTTTATCCATTCATCCATTGATGGATGTCTGCCTTTTGGCTATTGTGGACAGTGCCACCATGAGCATGGTGTACTGGTAATCTGTACTGCATCCCTGCTTTCATTTCCTGAATATATACCCAGAAGTGGAGTTGCTGAACCATATGGTAAAGCTGTTTAATTTTTTTGAGAAACCACCATATTATTTTCCATAATGGCTGCATCGTTTTATATCCGCACCAGTGGTGTACAAGGGTTCCAGTTTTCCCACATCTTTCCCAGCATTTGTTCTGTTGTTTTTGTGGTTTTTTTCCCCGTAATAGTAGGCATCCCGGTGTGGGGTGAGGGATTTGGTTTCTTTCTCATCAACATGATGCTCCCAGAATCAAATTTTGTAAAATGTTAATGATGGAAATACATGATAGATGGTACAGTCCCCAATTCTGGGTGGGGTTTTTCCAGACACATGCCTGTGTGTTCATGCATGTAGTCCTGAATGCTCTGACACTGATTCCTTTCATGATGTTGGAACTTTGTGAAATCACTTGCTTTTTGGGTTATTGAGGGAAAATGAAATTGAATTGCAGGTACTTCTGTGTTGTTTTAGGGCAGGAGTTGGCAATCTCTTTCTGTAAAGGGCTGGACAGTAAATACATCAAGCTCTGTTGGCTACATAGAGTCTCTTGCAACTGCGCAGCGCTGTCGTCATAGCACGGGAGCAGCCACGGGCAGTGTGCAGATGACTGGGCTTGGGTGTATCTCAGTAAAACTTGTAGGCAATACTTTGTATGTTTGTGCATACTTGCTTTTTATTTTCTAGTGAGAGAGTTCGTGGCACTTTTCCAAATTCTCAAGAGGTTACATAATCTAGAAAAGTTCAGACCCTGATTCCAGCCATTGTGCAGTGTGGGAAGCCGGGGCTGGAGAAGTTGCTGAGGGAATTGCCTGGGCAGGTGGTGACCGAGCCCGGTTTGAGAACCCAGGTCTCCTGTGACTGAAGCCCATGCTTTTTCCCTTACTGTGCTTTTTTCTAATTCTCTGAATATTTAGCTACATCAGCTTATTTTGTCATGCCACATATTCAGAGATTGCCCTTGTTGCCTGCTAGCTCATGATTTTGGGGAAGAACCTAAAAGCAGTTCCCAGAGACTCTTGCTTTTCCTGTTGCCTTCAAGGCTGGCGCAGCTGATAGGCCTTTTCAGCCAAGCTTTCATTCAGACCTCAGGTTAATTCACTACATTTCCTTACTGAATAAAACTGAGTTTTAGAAGGTCACGGATTCATTATTTGTCTTACGGAGGAAAGAAAGGACGAACTAACGTCTGCATTGATGTGTTAGGCCTACCGGATGAACAAGTGCTCTGCAGGAGTGGCCAGGAAAGCAGCCGAGGAGATAACGCTCCAGACAGGTAAGGAGCGTTTTTTCTCCTTCTTTTTTTTTTTCAAACAAAGATGCTTCCTTTGCCCTTCTTCTCTTGATGCACTGTCCTCACTGCCCTTTTCCTTTGGTGGAGGTTGGCCTTCGGCCCTCTGCAGACACCACTGGGGGCTTGTTTTAGGTTGCTTCTCTGCAGTGCCGTGACCAGGCATTCAACGTCTCTCTGAGCTGACTGTCTCTGTGGGTCTTGGGCTGAGGGTTCACTCTCTGTTCACTCTGCTGTTAGGGTGCTGTGTTCTTTGTGACCGGGACTGTGGCTCTCAAATGACTTTTCTCCTTTTGGAAGTGCATCATCAGGTTATGGAGGCACAGCTGACTGTTTCGGTTATTTTGGTTATCATAAAGATACTAGATCTTATTCCCTTCAAGCTACCCAGATCCTGTGATAGTGGCTTTTTAGGTAAAGAGAGATCGTCTTTTGAGTGTTTTCTACTTCATGGCACTAATGTCTTTGAAGGCACTGTGTAGCACGCAAAAGAGAGTGCCATTAGATTCAGTCCTCCTGGGATTTGAAAAGGGGCTCCCTGAAATAACTAGCCTCCTGGCTGGCTGCCATAAGAACACTTGAGCACCAGCTGGAGGGAGGCGTTGAGGGAGGGAAAGGAACGCGAGAAATATATGGTGCCCCTTATGATTTGGAAATATGAAATTATTGCGAACAGGAAAGATGTAAAGCAAAATTGTTAGGAAGTTAGACACAGCATACTAATGAAGACTGAGGCAATTTATAGGAACTCTGTTTCTGGGAGATAATGTTTAAATCTGGAAAGGCATAGACTATTACCCCAACAGGATATTAAACCAGCTACAGCAGGAAAGGATAAAGACATTTTTCTTATGGTCAGACTTGTAACCTGTTCAAAGACTGGATTATCAACTAGTTGTTAGTCTTCTCCAGTTAAATGGTAAAGCATAACCCAGATTATTGCATGGTTAAAATCACCAAAAGCAGTGAGCAGTATGACCCTGACTTCTGATACAATATGTAAATGAACACAACTTCTCAGGCTCTTCTAGAAGCACCTAGACTCTATCCTAGAGGAGAGGTTATTAAAGAATTACCAAAAGAGTTGATCTGTTTTGTACTTTAATTTCAGGCTTTATAATTATTAATTGTGATTTAGTATTTTCTCCCAGTGAAGGCCCTGCCCTACAACGTTGGAGAGCATTTCAAGGTCAGTGCTGCTGTGAGGAGCTTTTGCAGCACCTGTGTTAAGTTCATGACCTTCAAGTTTTCTTAAGAGTAAGGAGAGGGAATTTGTCCAAACAAAGCTTTGGTGGTAGAAAAGGATTACTACCTGAAATGCTTTGAAGCCAGATATGTGAGAATTCAGAGTTTTGAGGTTGGCTTGGTGATAACGTGCACATATGTTATATTTCATAATTTCCCCAGTGGGGTCCATGACAGCCCTTGTAATCATACATTTATTTGCAGTAAAATCTGTGAATCATCCACTAAGTGGTAAAAAGACTATAAATAGCCCCTTGTAGTTCAGGAGAGGTCAAGTTCTTTTGTCAAATGAAGTAAGAAAAACCTTGGGGCATTGCGTCTTTTGGATTTCAGAGTTGTGGACAAAGGATTGTATGCCTGTGTTTTAGGGGAAATCTTACAGCCTACTGACTCACAACAAAAAAGTTGAGCTATTTAGAAATTTCACACCTGTTTTTCTTTTCCCAAAGGAATTAAGAGGTTTGTGGCAGGAGCGCTGGGTCCAACTAATAAGACACTCTCTGTGTCCCCATCTGTGGAAAGACCAGATTACAGGAACATCAGTGAGTATCAGGTGTGATCATTGACCTTGGGCAAGTACCTCTGTGTTTCAGGAATCTGTAGATCTATAAAATGGGCCCAGTACCAGCATCTACCTCAGGGCTATTGTGACTTAAGGGCTTATTTACAGCAGTCCCTGGAGTGCAGTAGACGTCTAAATGAAAAGAGCGCTGGGGGTAGTAGTAGGGTGTATTTTGAGCTTTCTTTCAAGGGTGCATGTTGTGGTGTTCTTTATCAGCTGTGGACCTAAAATCAATCAAGATAAAACTTTAAACTGAGTTGAGCAAATACAGACTCGAGGCCTTGGTCTGTTGTAGAATAACCCACTAGACCCCCACTGTATTTATCAGAAAGCAGTCTAAACTATATGAACATACCAGCATTATAAACCAGATTCTGTAAGCTGACTTGCATTGAGATTTTATGAACAGTCTGGAAATCAATTTTAACTTCTTAAGCATCAGACTACAAAAGACAAAAGTTAAACGATCAGAGCTGAGTGGTAGTGATACTGCGTATGGTGATGAGTTTTGTGTGGATGACAAATTCTGTCAAGTGTGGTTTGTGGGTCTGGGTTACAGACACATTTTCCACTAGGGGTTGCTCCTTCTGGGCTTATGTGTGGTCCGTGTTTCCTTTGGTCTGGGCCTGACAACGAGGAGCTAACGTTTCTCTTGTGCTATGTAAGAGGCAGTGTACTTAGTGTAACAAGCATAAGCGTGCTTCTAGGCTTGTCTGTTGAATATATGGGCATCTCTCTGGGGTGAGAGGTAAAATAGGGAGAGGGATGACCTCTCAGATGGAAATAGAGACAACTCAAGACATTTCTGACAGAAGTTTTACCTTGGAGTGATTGAGCACTTTTTGATTTTAGGCTGAAATTGCCCATCAGGCAGGTTTCTTCTGACAGTCTCGGTGTCAGAGGGCAGAAGCAAAATCTACAGGACCACCGGCTTTTACAGCAGGGGGTGTGGGAGAATACCGCTGATGCATCCGGATCAGTGTGACACGTTTCGCAGTTACTCCTCACTCATCCCTGAATTGATTGATTAAGACCATCCCTGGAAAGAATGATGTTTCAAAGATCTTGAAAGTAACGGACAGGGCTCAAGAAGTCACACACCTTCTCACACACCCCCCGCAACCAGTCCTTGGCTCATGCTTGGGGAGAGAAGGCTATATGCTAAGTGTTTAGGAGCAGTTGTGTTCAGTTTGCTGGTTTAACTTTCCGTCACTGCCGTGTTTCCTTGTTTGGTGTCTTACCAAAGGTGGTGTTCCTCTTAAATTATGCATTATAAACCAGCAATAGTTAGTTCAGCGGTTGCCAGGCCTGAACTCAGCATGTCCTGGCCGTTCAGAGGAATCTGATATCCTGGTTGTGGTTGATTTTTTGCAGCATTTGATGAGCTTGTTGAAGCCTACGAAGAGCAGGCCGAAGGGCTTCTGGATGGTGGGGTTGATATCTTACTCGTTGAAACTATTTTTGACACCGCCAATGCCAAGGTGAGTTAAAGGAGAGAAAAAGGGGCGTGGGGGCGGTGTGAGAAGACCACAAATAGCTGTTACTAACTTGAGTAAAATTCCTCGATTCCATTTTACCTTTGACTGTTTTTTTAACTGAGCCCAGTAGAATGAAGGAAATTTCGAAAGGACATTTTTGTAACTTTAAAAAATGTTTTTTTAAAAATTATGAAAGTAAATATTCTTGTATTATATAGCTACTATATGTACGTAGACGCACAAGTAGTAGACACTATGCATGGCTCTTAAATTCTAAGGGTACATAAATGTGTGGCGTGAAAAGTAAGTATCCTTCCGTCTCCTCTTCCCTGAGGACAACCACAGTTCCTGGTGTGGGGGTTCTGACGGAGACTGATTGCAGATAACAGCGTGCGTGTGCGTGTGTGTACGTGTTTATGTTCCTTGTATATGCACTAAGGTGCGTAAGTGTATAGAATGAGAAGTAGATACCCTCATACGTACGTCTTTGCACAGTGTGTCTGAGGATAAATTTCTGCCAGTGAAATTTCCATGTCACAGGGTGTGGACACTGTTAATTTTGATCTTTAGTGTCAAATTACCCTCCAGGGTTGCTCTCAATTATACTCAATCAGCAGGTAGTACATGGTAGTGCCAGTCTCACCACACCCTCTCTGTTGAGCTTTTTGATGTTGTCCAATCTGATAGGTTACAGATACTACCTCACTAGTTTTAATTTGGACAGTCAGCCCTCCGCAGGCCTGGGTTCTGGTGTGGAAGGGCCTTGAGCATTAGAGGATCTGGAATTTAATAAAACATGGACAGCATAGATTAACATGGAACTTGCAGTGTCATAAGCTGTTGGTTCAAGTGCCACCATGTATACACGAGGCTGTGCAAAGTGGAGACTTCTGGTTTCTCTGTTTTTAATTTCGATTGAGAGAAAGAAGAAAGAGTAGCTCTTCAGCTCTTCCTCATCGGGGACACTAGTTCCAGGTGAACTTTCAGTCAGTGTTTGGTTAGAGCATGTACAGTGTTACACTTGAGAAAGGGGTGCTGGGGTTGTGCATTGTGGGGAGAACATGGTTCTCCTTCCCAGAGAACGCGAGGCGTCTCTTACCTAAAGAGGTCTTGGAAAAGGGGGTGTTCTGATCAGCTGGTTAGACCGACCTTTGACACAGACTCTCAGAAATAAAGCTGTCCTCTTTTTCCCTGACAGGCAGCCTTGTTTGCAGTCCAAAAACTTTTTGAAGAGAAGTATGCTCCCCGGCCTGTCTTTGTAAGTTCTCAAATACTTGCATGCTGTGTTTTGTTTTTTTTTATTAATAATGTCATTTTGAGGGTGAGGTTTTTGTTTTCCTCGCATGGAACTATCGATAGTGTCTTTAGGAAGCACATACTCAACTTCTTTAACTTCTTCTGTTCACCTCCCTCCTACCACCAGCCCTAGACCAACAGCAGTCTTATCTCTGGAAAAGTGAAGAAAATAAATCTGGAAGTGGTTTGTTCCACAGAAGCTGGGCTGAAGTGATCTCCTGAAGCCAGGGGCTCCCGCTCGTTGGGGCCCCTGCTGACTGTGAAGTGTCCAGTGCCATAGTCAGCAGACTGCCAGTGTGTTAATTCAATAGGCAGACCCACAGGAGGGTCTTAGGATTGCTTGCTGAGAACAGAGTCAAACAGGGGTGTTAGACAAGTCAGATGTTTGACAGCAGGAGGCCAGGATAACCTGAGGTTTCTGTGGGAGAGTCTCCTCCAGTGGGACTGGAGGTGTGAATTCTGAAGCTTTCTTGGGCATTGCTTTTGCCTCCCTGACTTTCCCTTTTCTCTGATTCTGTGGCTCACCAGCCCCTCGCCTGGGCACTTCGTATTCATCTGCTCTGACCATTATGAACCAGTGCTGCCTTTGAGTTTGAGTTCCACGGCTCTCTTCCTTGTAAAAGAACAAAGAAAGTCAGCTTGCTCACTTTATTTTGTTTCTGCGACTGTGTTCTTAATTTAAGTCAGTGTTGTTGACTGAGTTTACTTTGTCAATTCAGATTTCAGGGACAATTGTTGATAAAAGCGGACGGACTCTCTCAGGCCAGACTGGAGAGGCGTTTGTCATCAGTGTGTCTCACGCAGACCCACTCTGGTGAGTGATCAGTCTTTCCTCACTCCGTTCCCTTTGGGGGAATCTCTTCTGATGGCTGCAGACTGTGACCTAAGAGGGAATTGCTTGTCCCTGTGTCCACTGCACCACTTGCATGAGATGTTGGCTTTCCTTGAGGTACATTCCGACTGCCCCAAGGGCTTCAGAAGCCCACTGCCTAAACGCGTCAGCTAGAGGGGCTGGGAGAGTTCTGATACCCCCCGCGCCAGGTAGTTGCCTGTTTGTCTGCCAGTGTCCCCCTTACAGTTTGACTGGCTGGGCCCAGTAATAATACTTTACGTCTGTTATCAGCACTTAGATTTTTAGGGCTGTGCTTTGCAAAGGTTTTCACTCCCTGCTGGTGGAGCAACCAGAAGCAGTCTAGCTTGGAATAAGGTGGGAATTCTAAAGCTCAGATTTTTATCTTTAAAATTAACATGACGTTTACATCCTATTTTAAACTCTCTCTCTATTTTTCTTATCAAAATGGTTTGCATTATGTACCAGGAGTGAAGTGGGAGCTCCAGGAATATCCACGGTGTGCCTCTTGCAGGCACAGACTGCTCCTTCTGCCTGGAGGCTGTCTGCCTGCCTCTCTCCCTCAGCCGCCCTCACACACGAGCCTCTCAGGCTCCCCTCTGGAGTCCTCTCCTCCAGGGAGAGGGAGGATACCTTCCCCAGGGTGCCTTTCTCTCAGAGCGCTCTGTTCACTTTTATTACAGCCTTTGCCACGGAAGTGAGAGTAGTAGACATTTATTGAGTTTGCTGTACGCCAGGCTCGGTGCTGAGTGCTTTATGAGAATTGTCTCTTTTAATTCTGGCAAAAACACTTTGAGGTAGCTGTTGCTGTTCAGATCTTTTGCTTACTTTTTTAGTTGGTTGTTTTCTTACTGTTAAGTTTTAAGAATTAAAACAAAATTTGGGTTACCAGATACGTGTTTTGCTAATACGTTCTTCCAGTCCGTGGCGTGTCTTTCTCGTGCTCTTAACAATGTCTTTCACTGAGCAGAAGTTTTCAGTTTTAGTGAAGTCCAGCTTATTAATTTTTTTGTCTTTCATGAGTCCTGCTTTTAGTACTATATCTAAAAACTCATTGCCAAACCCATGGTCACCTAGATTTTTCTCCTGTGTTATCTTTATATATCTTTGTATCTTTAATAGTTTTGCAGTTACTCTTAGATCTATGATCCACTTTGAGTGTTCATGGTAGGTGTAAGGTCTGTGTCTGGATTAATTTTTTCACGTGGGAATGGCTGATTGTTCCAGTACCATTTGTTGAAAACACAGTCCTTTCTCCATTGGATTACCTTTGCTCCTTGGTCAAAGATCAGTTGACTGTATTTGTGTGATTCTATTTCTGGACCCTGTTCTGCTACATTGATCTATTTTTGCACTCAGCAATGGCAGAGATTCCTTTAGCTTTTCAGTGAGTCATTTTTTTTTTAATTGAAGTATAGTCAGTTACAATGTGTCCATTTCTATGTATAGCACAGTGTCCCAGTCATGCATATACATACATATATTCATTTTCATATTCGTTTTCATTAACTGTTATTAACAAGATACCATCAGTGAGTCTTGAAGTCAGGTAGTATCAGTCCTTCGACTTTGTTCTTCTTCAAGAATTGTATTATCTGTTCTGAGATGTTTGCTTCTCCATGTAAACTTCAGAATCAGTTTGTCCAGATGCACAAAATAGCTTGCTGGAATTTGGATTGGTGGTGTCTGAATATATATAAAATTGGGAAGAATTAATGTCTTAACAATTTTGAGTCTTCCTGTTCATGAACATGGAATATCTCTCCGTTTATTTAGACCTGCCTTGATTTTTTTCATCAGAAGTTTGTAGTTTTCCTGCTGTAGATCTTGGACATATTTTCTTAGAGTTATACACAAGTATTTCATTTGTTTTCATGCCAATGTAAACAGCATTGTGTTTTTCATTTCAAGTTTCAATACTTACTGCTGGAATATAGGTAAACAATTGACTTTTATATGTTAACCTTGTATTTTGCAACCTCATAATTGTTTTGGTTCCAAGAAATTTTTTAGTTGATTCTTTGGCATTTTCTACATAGACAGTCTTACTGTCTGTGAACAAAAACAGTTTTATTTCTTCCTTTCCAATCTGTATACCTTTTGTTTTCCATTCTCCTCTTAATGCCTCATGTAGGACTCCCAGCAGAATCTTTAAGGGGAGATGAAAGCAGACATCCTTGCCTTATTCCCAGGCTTAGGGGGAAAGCATCTAATTTTACGTCATTAAGCATGATATTAGCTGTAGGGTCTTTATAGATGGTTTTTATCACGTTGAGGAGTTCCCTTCTATTCCTAGTTGACTCAGATTTTTTATCATGAATAAGTGTTGGGTATTTGTTAAATAAACTTTTTATTTTGGAATAATTTCAGATTTTCAGAAAAGTTGCAAAGATAGTACAGAGAATTCCCATATGCTTTTTATCTAGTTTTTTCTAATGTTGACATTTTATATTAAGTATGATACTTTTGTCAAAACTAAAAGTGTATTACTATTAACTAGACTCCAGACTTCACTCAGGTTTCAAGTTTTTCCATTAATGTCCTTTTTCTGTTCCAGGATCTAATCTAGTATGTCACATTGCACTTAGAAATCAGCGTAAAGGGAAAAAAGTAAAATGTGAAAAAATAAAAGATGACACTGTGCAGTCCCTTCATAGTTAATTATTGAATACCTTGAAGGCCCCAGTGGCTCCCACTGAGAGTGGTTTTGGAGGGTTTAGCAGCTCTACTTTGATCTGTTTTATTTGAGTCTGCAGTAAGTTTCTCTGCAAAACAGAGAGCCCCTTGATTTACAACCAAACAAGCCCACTTAATTTATGAGAGGACAATTCCAAGTCCAAGGTCACCTTGCAAGTCAGTTGGAGCAAAGACTAAGTCTCGGTCTTCTGCCTCCCTAAGTGGCTTCTGTATGCCATCAGCGCTCCTTCTACCTCCAGGGTTTCCCTTCTGCTTTCCTTTGAGTATTGCTTTCCAGTCAGATGTTTATTAGCAGTGGTCAGTTTGCAGACATTTCTGTTTCACGGTGCACCATTAACTAAACTGAACTTACTTAAGGAGTCACGTCCATAAGCAGGGTCCTTGAGCTGTAAGATCATCTGATGTAGGAGACACAGGCAGAATTATTCAGTGTTGCAGGGGACTTCAGTGAGATGCCTTTGACTGTAGCTGAATAAACGTGCTTTGAATCAGGAGATTTATTATCTGCTTGTTTTTAAATATACGCCTTTTCTTTATCATAACTTTTTATACGTGTAAATATTTAGAGTAAAAGAGGATGCTTCTAATTTCTTTTTGTTTTCCCAGCATTGGATTAAATTGTGCTCTGGGTGCAGCTGAAATGAGACCTTTTATTGAAACAGTTGGAAAATGTACAACAGCTTATGTCCTCTGTTATCCCAATGCAGGTATGTTACGCGTGGGAAAACCCAAATACACAAGATTTGAGTAGACAGGGTGATAGATCTTGATTAAAAGAGTTTGTCTTGCAGGTCTTAGTATGCTGTTTACTTTCAATGGGAATTTTCTAACTAAAGAGCATTTGGGGCGAGACCACTGTTTCCCTCTAGATTTGAAGGAGCAGTTAGGCTCAGCCTGAAACCATCAGAAGTGGACAAAACTTGGGGGAATGGAGCCTAGTCACTTAGCTGACCAGAGCCTTGTCTTTGACAGTGCTCACCACCTGGACGTGGCCAGAGAGATGAGTGCAGAGACCACGAGAGAGAGTCCTTCTCTCTGTGCCGCTGTGTGAGCCAAAGAGCAGATAAAGAGCCTTGTGTGTTGTTGCCTTTTTCATTTCTGAAAGTTAGGACTTCAGTTTGCTGTATGTCAAAATTTCAGACATAAATGTAGACAGTTCTCAAACTATCTATTTAGTATTGGTAATCCATTCTGAGTTAGCCAGATTTCCTGGTGAATGTTTTTGAACACTGTTAGCTACTTGGGGCTAAAAATCATTTTCCAGTCTTCTTTCTCCAATTATATACATTTTAATGGGCAGTAAATTTCATTTGCCACCAGGAGTAAGATGACTGGAAGGGGATAATAAATCAAATAGAAAATTGGACAATTAGATTCTAACGTCTTACTTGGGAAAACTTACTTGAAAGCAGACTGGGTGTGTTTTGCTTGTTGTTAATCGCATGTCTGGGGCTCATTAGTTCAAAGGAAGTGTGGCACTCCCCTAGTCCCCACCCCAAGCAGTTAGGTAACTAGAATGAATTTCCTTTATGGGAAGGGGAGGGATGGGGGTGGGGGAATGTGGCCTCATATAGTACTGATGCTTTTCTTTCAAATGGAAGAGAAACAATGGACATTTATTGTCCTCTGATTTTTCGTTTGTTTGTTTTTTGGTGTGGCATCTCTGTACTTACTATGTTTAATATTAAGTATTCTAATCTGTTTTTGTAAGTAATCACCATTTAGTTACAGATTAAAAATTCGCTAACCTTTTACCCTAAAGCCTTTACAAATACTATGATTATTTGTTAAAGTAGTTTCTGATAATGATTAAAATATCCTTTCATAGGTCTTCCCAATACCTTCGGTGACTATGATGAATCTCCGCACATGATGGCCATGCACTTAAAGGTCAAGAATCCTCTTTCACTTGGTTTTTAAGAGACAGAGGAATGGAAGTTTTGATTTGGAATATTTAGAAGCAGACTTTCCCCCTAAAGAAATCCCAGTGTATATATAACAAAAGCTTAAGATGAATTAAGATGGTGGAGGCAGAGTGGGGGGCTCACTGTGAGCATCCTCCACAGCTGGTACTGGTGGCTGCTGGAGAATTCCCAGCGAGGTCCAACCTGCACTAACTGGAATTTGGCTCTTCCGCAGCCCTCCCACTGCTGGGTGGAGTAGATGTCTCCCTGCTCCCCATTGCCACCTCCCCGATCTCCCTCCTCTCCCATGCCCCTCCCATCTTTGAACCCCCGGTCATGAAACCATGCTGCCCACTACCCCTACTTACTACTGACCCTGTGTCTCTTTTCCTTATTCCTTGAGTTTTTAGCTTCTGGCTTTCTACCCTTCTCTCCTAAACTGTTTCTGCCTTAATTCTTAGGATTTCCGTCCCTTGTGGGATGCTCTTTGCAGCTTTCTGACATCTCAGTTCCTTGACTTCCTCTCTGTTACCTTGTCCTTCAAACCAGCTGTGGGTAAATTCCAGCCTCCATTGTCCAATACGTAGCTTCTGTGGCATGTGGTTATTGGAGCACTTGAAATGTGGCTGCTGTGCCTGAGGAACTGAATTTTTAATTCTTTAAGCTTAAGTTTTAGTTGACTTAAATTTAAAAACTGATACATTATGTGTTATTTGAAAATGCATTATTCAGCTCACATTCATTCTGTTCAACATATGGGTAGAAAAATCTTTCTTTTGATCAAATAGGCAAATAAATATCTCATTACATTTCATAGTATTTGAAATGTTTTAAGTCTTACATCTAAGGCTTATGAATGCTTTATATCTAGAGTTAAGTATGTTTAGCTCTCTCCTGAATGTAAAATTAGTTACTCAGGCAATGTAGCTCTCTTCTGCAGCATTGGTAGTGGTGAACTTAGAATTCAGATGAACTGCCTGAAGCCTTTTCTTTCCCTGAGTGCAGGATTTTGCTGTGGATGGCTTGGTGAATATAGTTGGCGGATGCTGTGGCACAACACCAGATCATATCAGGTGACAGTCACTTCTGAATGTTTTACCTTCTGTGCCCTCAAAGTTCATATGTTGAAGTCCTAATCCCCAATTTCTCTGAATGTGACTGTAATTAGAAATAGGTCCTTTAAAGAGGTAATTGAGGTTAAATGAGGTCATGTGAATGGATCCTCATCCAGTGTGACTGGAGGGGACACAGACACACACAGGAGGGACCATGTGAACACCAGGGAGAAGGGAGAAGGCAGCCAACTACGAGCCAGAGAGAGAGGCCTCAGAGGGGACCAGTCCTGCTGACACCTTGATCTAAGACTCCTAGCCTCCAGAGTTTTGAGAAATAGACGCTACTATTTAAACTGCTCAGTCTGTGATATTTCATTGTGACAGCCCTAGCAAACTAGGGTACTTCACATGAAAGATTCCAGAATTTAAAGTACAGAAGTAATAAAATGAACCCCCATGTGCCTATCACAGTTTCCTTAATTTTCTACATTTTGCTATTCTTATTTTCTCTTATTCTCCAGCTTTTTTTCCCTTAGACTATTGCAGAACATAACCTAGATATCTTAGCATTCTGCCCTTAAATACCTGACTAATATTTGAATTCTCAAGGAGGGACGGCTCTTATTTCTTGGGCAAATGCATGCCTCCGGGGGGAGGATATAGCTCAAGCACTAGAGAACATGCTCAGCATGCACGAGGTCCTGGGTTCAATCCCCAGTCCCTCCTCTAAAAACAAACAAACAAACAAACCTAATTACCTCCCTCCAAATAAATAAATTTTTTAAAAAATGCATGCCTCCATTAGAATCTCATGTGAAAGGAAAAGATGGTAAGCAGCAAGCACCTTGAGGTCTAGAGAAGTGTCTTCACCTGGCCTGGCCCAGTCACTGCTTAACCCGCGTTGCTGAGTGAGCACGTGAAGGAAGTGCATGAGACAAGGGCATAGTGAAGGGCGTGTTCAGGTCCCTGCACTTTTGTGGCCTATAGGAGGATTGGAGTTCAGTGGAATAGAGCACAGTTTAAGACTGTTTGTGTTTGGGTTTTTTCCACTAGATTGACTTGTGATCAGATTTTGACCCAGTCATCTCACTGTTCTGCCTCTGTTTTCATGTGCATATGTTCACTCTGCTGAATTACCTGATGTGTCACTGCTTTTGTTGACGTCTGTGATAGACTCTATTAAGGGTCTGTATAGTTTTATAAACATCTTTTAAGTAATACCTGAAGGCTGTCAGTTGTTGAAGATAGCTTACCTTTGGATCTCTTTTTAAGATTATCTCCCTTATAAAAAGAGTTGTTTTAAAAATATCTCTGTGTGTGTGTGTGGATCTACCTGTCTCTCTCTACATATGTTTGGTGCTTTCACTTTGACACTGACATTCACATACTAATTTGGGAGGTGTTCGTACTGGTCCTGATAAATTTAATGGAGTGTCCAGATTTTTCCAAGTAGATCAAAGACATAATTCATTAAAGCTGATAAAGTTAAGAAACTATAAATAATTAAAACAAATTTTTAGGAGCAATTATTTTGAAGTTTTAGTGATGTATTACTCTGTACGCTCCCTTCTATGTGTGTGCACTTGAGAAAAACAGACCTAAAGGGTTTAATTTCCTTCACCCTTGACCCTCCTTTCCTGTTTGCTTTTCCTTCCCAATGATTAGGCCTTTTTTTATTTTAAGCTCATGAGTGAGGAGGGAGAACCTAGTTCACGTGTGGATTTGGTGCAGTAAAGGACACCGCAGGTTTGGAAGGGAGGGAGAGAGTCGCTGTTTGCACTGTGCAGGCCGTCCCGTCTGGGCTCACGTCCGAGCTCAGATGCCGGTGCAGTCAGTGCGCAGCAGACTGGGCCAATACAGAGACACTGAAGATTGTAGATTCGTTTTCTGCATTACTGAGAAAACTAAAGAGCGTAATTGCTGCTTCACATTTGGAACTTGGTGTATAATTATGTTAAATAGACTTAATTTCATAGCTGGAAATTAGTTTATTTTATTCTGAATTAATGGATATAGTGTTTTCTCTTTTGACTCAGAGAAATTGCTGAAGCTGTGAAAAACTGTAAGCCTAGAGTTCTACCTGCCACTGTTTTCGAAGGGCATATGCTACTGTCTGGTAAGTTGTAAAGATACGAGGTTTATGATTTCAGAAATCATTGGAGATTAAGTTAGTATGTTTAAGTTGTAGTGATGTTTGTGCCAAGGAACTTTTTTATTAGGCCAGAGGATAGTACTTGTATTTTTTGCCACTTGAATAAATTCTAGTAAAGAACCCTTTGTTTTTTTAAGGGTGAGAGCGGGAAGACATTGACTTCAGGGAAATGGAAATGAAGGCACAGATAGTGCCAATTAGAATGATTGTGCACTGCTTTGAAAATACACCTAGGTCACCACAGCCTAACAATTCAAATTGTCATATTGGCTGCTGGTCCCTGAGAAGTCCACACTGCCCAGTTTCAGTGTTTTGTAATGATGGCAGCTTCTTCCTGGAAAATTTTGTTTCCTTCTGAAACACCATAGTCATGCTTTTACATTGACCATGTGTTCAGGACTTGACAAAGAATCGTGGCGTTTGTCATTCTGTCTTGTTCTCAACAGCCCTTTGGGGTAGGCATCGCTCCTTTTTCAGGATGAGTTTTTGTGTTCAAATAAAGAACATTGGTAAAATAGTTCATCATGCCAACTGTTAGAAAAATAACTTTAAATTTTATATTTTTCCCACAATACTTTAATGACGTAGTTTTAACTAGTATCTCTAAGCAAAAAAAATGTATAAACAGATTCTTAGGAAACCTGCAAATACATAGCACGCGAGGAATTATGCACTCTAACAACTGAGAATTTAACACTTCTCTAAACTGATACCTTTGTTCCACGTGTTCTTCTAAGGAAAGTGAAACGAAGTACGAGTGACGGTGAAAGTGATACTCACCGTTCTTGCTCAGAACATGTTGCATAGAGTTAATCCCAGTGAGTGAAGACGAAGTCGGGTTAGAAATACGCCTCTTCAGGCTGCCCTTTCTTTCCTTTTATACTCCAGAAGACAGGACAAACTAGAGGAGAAGGGATTTATGATTTATGACACACCCCTTGCCTCGAAAAAGTGGCTTGTCAGAGAGGATAGTTTATTTCATCCTTAGATCTTACAGCTATTAATTGAGCTCAGTCAAGGACTAAGTTAAAATTGTCAACATTTGCCAAAATTGAAACAGGAAAGAACCATTTAGTTATAATTTTTAAAAAGAATTGTAGGAATGAAAGAATATTTCTGATTTGAATTTCTTGTGCTATTTCTAAATTGTTTTTAAAATCACCTGCAATTAGATTTTAGGAATGATCAAACACTCTTTATAATTGTTCTTTTATAAATTGCAGACTTGAGAAAAATTTGGTTTTTATAACAGATACTTCACATTCGTAATAGATCAGAAGTGCTTTGTGTGAAATGCTTCTAGGGCAATGACACAGGGTCTCTCAGCATGTAAATGTTGGTTTCCCTGCCTGTCTGACTCGGGATCAGGGGTGCCCTGAGGCCAGTGTGGAGGGTGAGGCTGTGAGGATGTTACCAGTGGGAAAGGAGACCAGGAGCCAAAACCGGGAGCTGACAGTCTCCCCGGTCAGGGAACAGACGACCTGGAATAGCTGTGTTGTTACCTGTCTTGTGTTTATTATTTTTCTCTTCCTCAGAGCTGTTTCCTCCCCAGCCAGTTCTTTGGCAAAGGACTCAACAGCCTCTTTTATTAACAAGAGCAGCTGTGATTTGTGATTGCTGGCACTAATTTTATGCTCATCAGTGTAGTCTCACTTTACAGCAGTATTGTGAGGCAGCTACTTTACGGACTGTCCTCTGTAAGTTCAGAGGCTCTGAGGGAGGTCTCCTGGGTTGTTTGCTGAGATGGCTGCGCAGGGCTTGGAACCCTGGGCTGCTGTCCCCAGAGCCTGCCTGTAACCGTCGAGCAGGACTCCTGCGTCGTAACACTGGAAACACAACGAGTAACACAAAAGCGGTAGAAGGCCTTTTCCTGCAGTGCTACTTTGTGCTGCAGGTTGCTTTTTCCCTTGCTGTAGTGGACCCACGTTAATTCATCTGGTATTTGCCCCTGAAGTGGCCTGTAATGGGGAGGTGTTGTGGCCCCTTGGCCAACAAGGGGAGAGAAGCAGAGAGCCCAGGTGGCCTGCCTGGGGCCGGCTGTCTGCCAGGGCTCCGCCCGCACCCCTCTCCCTTTGCCCGTGCTGGGTACCGGTTGTTGGCCTCTAGATCCACACACACTGTTGGTAGGATTAAGAATGCTTGCTCCCTCTGGCTTCAAGCCCATGTCTGCATGAACAGCTGCGAAACAGTCCTTTCTCACTTCATGGCTTTTGTCTCAGACTCTGGGTTAAATAAGATATGATGATAGTTTTTGCTTGTTTCTCAGAGCTGTGTGATTCAGCTTTTTAGAGAAAATCGCAGTTTAAAACCCTGAAATATCTCTTCTTTTGAGAGTTCTGGTTATAAACATACAGTCTTTGTTGTGTTTAAGTATCCCTGGGGGGAAGGCCACGGTCCTATTTCCACATTGGATCTCCTGTCTAGTCAGACATGCAGTGGCACAGAAAGTTCTTTTGTTTCTCATGAAAACATTTGTTTTTCTGTCTCATATTGTCATATGCATTTTCAGAAAGTTTTCAGAATGCTTCTCCTTTTAAGGTCTGGAGCCCTTCAGGATTGGACCGTACACCAACTTTGTTAACATTGGAGAGCGCTGTAACGTTGCAGGATCCAAGAAGTTTGCTAAACTCATCATGGCAGGAGATTATGAAGTGAGCATCTTAATGAAACCCTTGAGGCATCTGCCATGTTTTTGGCTAAGACAGCATGCGAATGAAACAGCCCTGCCTTTTATGGTTATTAGCAGAGCTGCTGGGAAGTGGGAGAGGAACGGGGAAGTGTGTCTGCAGCAGGCTGGGCTGGTGGGAGGATGAGGCTTCAGAAAATCCGAGCTGCTGCTGTCAATATTTGTCAGAAAGTACTGCCCTCGGGGTTTGAAGTGGGATGAGATTGGAGGGATACTGGTTCTAGCTGTTCCTACTAATTGTGAAGTAAATTGAAAAATTTGAAGGTTCTCTTCATTTTTGCTTCTCACAAATCTTTCTAGGGAAAGGGAAAGCCAAGAAAATTCCCACTCATTTCCTCATGACCACTTCAAACACGGACAGTGTTGTACTGTTGATTCTGTTAACTATGAACTAAAATAAAAAAGCCAACACAAAAGAATGGGCCCGGCCTTGGAAAGTTTGCAGGATGGCTTAGCCATAGTGCTCTTCAGCTCAGTCACTCTGGATGAGCAGAGTTTAATACAGGTAGAGCCTACCCTGAACACCTGGACAGCATTTTTCTCTCTTATGCAAATACGAAGTTAAAAATGGACGGATTTGGTTTGGGCTTTGGTGATTTTTATTTTTCAATCCAACTTCTCTCGTTGTAAGGTTTTGCAGCCTTTAGGAAGTAGACCTTCCTACAACCAGTCTCAAAGTGGACTTAGTTTGAATCAAAAGGAAAAGGCACCTTTATCATCCTTTGTGGACTTGTTAATGACTGCTCCACGGCACCCTGCCAAGGTGTCCCTCTGCGGACACCTCAGTAGGGCCTGGCTACCTGGTTACCTGGCCGACAGTCCACTTCCCTTTGTTCCTGCTAGTGCTCAGCCAGCATGCGCTTCTGCCGTGGCCTCCCCAGTTGAGAAGCTTTTACAGGGTGGCTTTGTTTGCATATAGGATAAAACCCGAACTCCTGAGGACATCATCCAGTCCTCTCCACTTGGGCACCAAACCTCCTTCCATCCTGATCTGGCATCTGAACGCTCCAGGAGGTTTGCTTCTGCCTCGGCCTTTGTCCATGTTTGTTCCCTTCTGAAATCCTTATGACCCTTCGTGGTATAGTGTTCTTCAGCTGGCGATGATTCTGTTTACAGTTTGATTCTTACGACCGTTCTGTGCTTTCAGCTCTCAGATTTGATAGATTTGATGCTGAGAACAGGTGGCGTTTTAGGAAGAAGACAAGTGGGAGTGATAGCTCTCATTTAACAAGGTCTGATTACATACATGCCAGTCGCTGTGCTTAGCACTCCGTGGCACTCCTCATGTAGTCTTCACAGGCCTTTGAGGTAGGCCCTGTTGTTCTCTCCATTTTACACTTGTGTTATTGGGGGTTTGGGGAGGTTAAACACCTCTCCTTTTGTTTCGCAGCAAGTGAATGATAGACCCCAAGTCCACCAAAGCCACGCCCTTACCCACTCTGCTGTCTCTGCCTGGAGGACAGTGGGGGAGGAGGCAGTGAAGCCGGAAGGGGTTCTGTAGGAATGCCTCCTCACTGGACTCTAGTTTCCCCTGCGTTAGTGACCCCTTACGGCTCCGTGGTTAATAAGATGAGCACTGACCTGAAAGAAATTCCGCTGCTGTCTTTTTGCTTAACTTGTACATCTTGAAACAGATCACTTCATTTCTTTGAGCCTGTTTGGGAATGTTGGCCCACCAAGCAATTAATCTTTGGCTCTTACAGTTTAGAAAAGTCAGGTATTAGCATCTCTGTAAACCCTTTAAGAGCAAGAACTGTGACTTACACTTGTTTTTTTTCTTATACACATTGCTGATACCAAAAACATTTTTTTGATTTGTAGAATTTTATTTTGATCCTTTTTCTCTGTGTACCTTGGGTCACTACGAATGGTCTTTCCTTGTGACTTGTGCCAGAAGGTTTCATGCCTGTTCTGTCACAATGATGGCTAAACATTTCTGTGGTTTCCTTGGCTAAGAAAAAATTAGGACAATATCAGAATCTACTGTTGATTTTATCCTTGCTTATTTTTTTCCACTATGAAGTGTACAATGAAGACTTAAACAAAATAAAGTCGCAGTTGTCCCAGTCAGCTAGAAAGTGTTACCGGACACGTTTGTCTTGTCCAGCACTATTCAGAGGAAAGCGGGAGACACATGAGACCTTTCTAGATTTCTAAATGCTTGAAATCTGTTTCAGAGACAAGCTAGTAGTCATGAAATCATGAGGAAATAAGGTAGTACACTATGTGGGAACGTTTATAATTGTTATGGAAGTTTAGAGATAGTAGATCATTGTGGAGTAGACAGTGTTTCTCAAAGTATGCTCTCTGGAACACTGATCTTACAAGATATTCTTTAAATGATTGAAAGTGGGAAATGTATTTTGCACTTGGAGATTTACAGCACATAATAGTGTTAAAAAGGATTTGAAAATCCTTTTAGCATAAAAAAGTTTATTTAACTCATATTTCATGTAACTTCTGTCAATAGTGTGCAATGAATACTTTGCATATTTCAGTAGATGCTGAAGAGTGATACACGTTTTGGATGGTTTCTATAAGGACTTTTCTTGGAGGAGATGGGACTTGAGCTGGGTCTTAAAACAGTATAGGAGGGAAGGGGGTTGAATTCCCAGCGGAGGGAACAGCATGATCGATGCCACAAGTAGAATCGGATTTGACTGGGAGACAGTGCCAGTGAGGAAGGAGTACCTACAGCTCAGTTACATAGGAAGGCAGGGTGGGTCCCAGGGGGCCTGGAACTCCAGGCGATGCACTGAGGTTCTTCTCTTGAGGAATCAGAGCCTCGGTGGATTGTGACACCCTGTGATGGAAGAGATGTTAACGAGAGCTTAATCTGTGACTGTTGAGAGTAGGCTCATGGTCGGGGAGGCTGCCTAGTTAGTCCAGTGGTAAAGGACTACTTTTGTTAGCCTTCCCTGAGTCACCCTCTCCTAATGCTGGTTTCTGTTGAATTCTTTCCTCAGGAAGCACTAAGTGTTGCCAGAATGCAGGTGGAAATGGGAGCGCAGGTGCTGGACATCAACATGGACGATGGCATGCTTGATGGTCCAAGCGCAATGACCAGATTCTGCAACTTCCTTGCTTCTGAGCCTGACATTGCCAAGGTCGTACCGACTCTTACTCGTCAGGGGAATTAGCGTGTGTTGCTCTGTCACTCTTTTAACTTTGTCAGTTTCCCCTTCCTGTGTCATCTCAGACAGCGGTTTTCTGATTTTCTGTCTTGAAAACCCAGTGGTTTCTGATCGTCAGTTTTCTCACTTCATGATAGCCTTCCTATACCAACCAGACTTCAGAGAGAGATGTGACTTCAGCCTGGCTGTTTCCAAGGTTTCTGGAATTGGTCACAAGAATTGGTTGAGTTTCCTCAGATGTCTGGATAGGCTAAGAACCAACTTTTCGTGCCTTTGAAGGATATACTTACCTGTTCCTAACAGAGACGAAGGAACTCAGTTCTTCCTTTTTGCAGGAAGAAGAGACCTTTTCAGGCTTATCAGAGTAAGACAAAATTATAAAACGAGATTAAAGTATTGTGCCATCTTCTACATTTGTTCTTTAAAAGGTGAAAGTTAATTTTTGTGTCAGTCTTTTCAAAAATTTTAGATGGATTCTGAAAACTTTAAAAATCTAACTTCATTTCTCTATCATTGAGTTTGCGATAAGTGATTTTTGAAGTTTTGGGGTATTTTTTAAAAGAAACTTCCTAGTGCTTTAAGAGATAGGGCTGTCATTTATTCATTATAATTTATTCTAACTTACACATTATTCAACAAATGTGCTAAGTTAGAAGTCTTGTAGTAAGCAGTGAATTCCATTAACCCATCCTTCATTTGTGTCTCAACTCCTTACTAAAAAGCCTCATTACTCCTCTGGGAGTAAATATTTTGAGAATTTGAGGTGCAGAGAAGGTAAATGACTTGTTGAAAGTCAGTCAGAATCAGGGGGAGCCAGTGAAATGACTTTAGTGGTTTCATTTTGCTGCTTAGCTATGACCTTTTGAGTTACCCATTTCTGGCCCACGCGTGTGGTCTCTTGTGAGACAGGAGTTATGCCAAGTCTTTTGGGCTTTAAGAATAAGATTAAAATCCTGCCTTTGTTATACTACTGGTATTTGTTAATTATTTCCCTACAGAAGAAGGAAGGAATATCTGGGAGCCGTTGGAAGGGAATCTGTGCTGACGTGTCATCTTTCTGTGATTTTCTTGCCCTTCTGACTTCAGGTGCCCTTGTGCATCGACTCTTCCAACTTTGCTGTGATTGAAGCCGGGTTAAAGTGCTGCCAGGGCAAGTGTATTGTTAACAGCATTAGTCTGAAGGAGGGAGAAGACGACTTCCTGGAGAAGGCCAGAAAGATTAAGAAGTTCGGGGCTGCTGTGGTGGTCATGGCTTTTGATGAAGAAGGACAGGTGAGCGATTTCTTTTGATCTGGCCCCATTGTGTTACACAGGCTTAAAGCAGTGCAAGAGAACTGAGTCCTGAACAGATCTGTACATCATGTGTATGTGTATACGTGTGCGCACACACGTGCATGCCTCAGAGAGATTGCGGGTTGGGTTCCAGGCCACCATAATAAAGCAAATACTGCAATGAAGTGAATGTTTACGCTATGCTGTAGTCTGTTAAGTGTGTAATAGCACTGTCTAGGAAGACGACATATCTTAATTAAGAATACTTTATTGCTAAAAAATGTTAACCACCATCTGAGCCTTCAGTGAGTGATAGCAGCAGCATCGAAGATCACTGATCACAGATCCCCATGAGAAGTAGAAAAATAGTGGACAATTCTGCATTATTGAAAAAATTACCAGAATGAGACACAGAGACATGAAGTGAGCAAATGCCATTGGAAAAATGGTGTCAATAGAGTTGCTCAACACAGGGTTGCCCCAGACCTTAGATTTGTAAAAAATCCAGTATCTGTGAAGTGCAGTGAAGTGAGGGGTTTCTGTAGATCTGTGTGTGTGTCCACACAAGTGCATATACATACATGAGCACACATACTTACATCTATATACATGAAAATTTGATTATATAATAAAGACTTTGTATCAGTTGAGAAAGGAGTTGTTCAATAAATGCGGTTGGAATTACTGTCTATGCAGCTGGAAGAAAATAAAATTAGAGCCCCATTTCCAACCATATACTAAAATGAAATACACATCAATTAAAGATCTAAATGTGAAAAAAAAATAAAGAATATATGGGAAAATATTCATGTAAACTTGGAAAGCCAGAAAGAAAACTGGTAGACCTGTTTACATAAAAGTGTAAAGGTTTGCATGGCGAAAGATAGGGTCCTGTTTGCAGCATGAGCAATAGCAGTGGGTTAGTATCCCTGGTCTGCAAAGAGTTTCTATAAATCAGAAAGTAAAGCGCCCCAGACAGTTCAGTAGAAGAAGGAATAAAGGAAATGAATAAACGATTTATACAAAAAGAAATACATGGGCAATAAACCTATGAGAAGATACTACACTTAGTAATGATTAAAGAAATAGAAAAATGAAGCAATAACATGATAATAGTTTCTTTTGTGAAATAGAGGGAAAAAGGAAAAGATTGATAAATGGCAGCTCTCATATTGTCTCGGAATCAGAGGGGCAGTGGGAAGCTTCAGATGTAATGATCGTTTAACCTGGGTGATGGGTGTGCAGGGATTATTGTTTTATACCTCACATGACGTTCATAAATACTTTTATGTCAGTTCAGGATTTAATTTAAGACAGTGTTAAAAAAGAATCCATGCCCTGTAATTCAGCCCCTTCCTGGGAGTCTTATGCTAGGTTGAGTGCACAAGGGCATGTGTTCACATGCACTGTAGTGCTGCAGTAGCGAAACACTGAGAAGGCGCTCCGTGTCCATTAGTAGGGGAATGCTTCACTGTGGCTACATGCCAGGTAGACTACTGTGTAGCAGAAACAATGAGGTGATGAAAGCATGTCTAAAATACATTGAAAAGTTAAAAAATGTGGCAGGATCCTGGTTTTATTTAATATAAAAGGATTTAAACGGATACATGTGTGTTTGTACAAACAGGAAAAAATCTGGTAGCTGTTAACTGAAGGGCAGAGTTGAATTGACTTCTTTTTTTAATATATTTGACAAGTGGTAGGGTTATATGTTCTTTTTCTTTCTTTTCTCTTTTTTGTATTTTTAAAGTAAAACCTTTTTTTACCTAAAGTATTATTGTTTTGTACAAAAGACATTTTCATCGTGAGGAAAGCTCACATAATCCAGAAGAGTGCAAAAGAGAGAGAATATTGATAATGAACATGTACTGAGCTTTCACTTGTCCCAGGTAAAATCAGCTTTTCCTCCCAGCATGTAAGTGCTAGTTGTGTATTATTATTTTTGTCTTTTTTTACGTGAGGAAACCAGAACGCAAGGACTTTACCTGACTGTTGTCACGAGGGTAGCGAGCAGTCGTGCGAGGATTCGGACCTAGGAGACGTGGGTCTGTGCTAAATGGCTGCATGAAAGAGTCCAGGGTAAGGCTGTCAGGGAAGAGATGGCTATTTCAGAAAAGGTGGTCTTGAGAAACCCCTCTTAGGAGGAAATTTGAAAACCTGAATAAAATGAGAAAGCCATGTGGACATTTAGGGAAAGAGAAGGTTCTAGAAAGTAGAACACTCTGTATGCACTACTCTTCTGTGACTCCTCCGACTCGACAAAGGCTTGGCATCTTCTCGTCTTAGTAAATACGGATTGCGATTCCATCTTCCATGGTTGCATTGTTCTCCAGTGTGTATCTTTTACTTAGCTATTGCATAAGTCGCAGTTGTTTCTAAGTTTTTAGCAGCATGGCCAGTGGTGACGGGCACCCTAATCCCACAGCCACTCCCCCCTGTAGAGCAATTGTCTCAGGTCGTAGAAGGGGTCAGTAGGACAAAGGGTGTGCGCATTTAACATTTTGATACACGTTGTTAAATTGTCCCCCTGAAAAGTTGTCTGGTCATCTTCTGTTGCTGGTTTAGTGTGGTGAGACCTTTTGACATTATTTTTACTGAAGGTATATATGCAGTTAGAGACAAATAATTCTTTTTATGAAAAACAGAAGCCATAAACCCTCCAGATCCTCAGAGGTAACCACTTACAGTTTAGCTAAATCTTGTATCAATTTACTTCCTTATCTTCAAATTCTGGTTTTAGTTATTATTTACTGCCTTTCCGTGGTGGTTAAGGATTTGACTTTTTCACCATTCTCTACCCCAACTCCACACATCTTTGCTTTTACCCCTCGTCCTTCCAATATGGTTAATTTTAGTTGTAACTATTTTGGCACTTAGATTTATAATAAGCAGTGTAAAATCTGAGCCATGTGTAGTATGCCATGATTCCTTTTCCTTTTCTGCACCCTATTTTTTCTCCATGAAGTTAATACGTACCTTTTTGTTTGCTTTTGTTTCTTATATATTTTCAGACTGTCCCCTACTTGTGTAAATTTCCAGTATCCAGTGTATCCAAACACATTAAGTAGACCGTCTTTTTAATTTCTTGGAGACTTCTCTCCAGGTCTTCTGATACAATCTGGAAAGGTGCTCCGCAGGCCGCCTGCACAGCTGTCACTGAGACGTCCCTCCCCATCATCTGGGCAGTTCTTCTCACCCCCCTCACAGGTGTTCAGATCTCTTGGTTTCACCTCTCATTTGGGAAAGTGCGTTCTCTGGTAGCTTCTTGTGAAAGAAAACATGGCAGTAAATATTTTGAAACCTTACGTGTCTGAAAATAGCTTTATTCTTTTACACTTAATTGACAATTGTGCGGGTGTTGGAGTACAGGCTTGAAATTGTTTTCTCTGTGTTCTGAATGCACTGATCCATGATCTTGTAGTTCCCATTGGTATTGATGAGAAGTCCAGTGCTGTTCTAACCCTTGATTCTTTGTCAGAAACCTATTTATTGTTCCATTTTCCGGGTGCTTCTTGGATCTTCTACATCCGCGGTGTTTTGAAATCTCATGGTGGTGAACCATGTGTTTACGCTGGGTGCTCAGCAGGCCCTATCTGTCAGGAAGCTTATGGCCACAGTTGCAGGAAGCTTCCTTGAATTTTTTATCCTCTCTCGGCATGTGCATTACTCAGACACTAGGTGTTTTGGAAAGATGGCCTAATTTTCTTATCTTTTCAGCTTTTCAGAGCTTTTCAGCTTTTCAGCTCTGACATTCTGCTCTGTTCTATGTGAGATTTCTACGTCGATACTTATCTTCCATTGAGTTTTATGTCTTCCTTTATCAGGAGCTCTTTTTTGTTATCTAAATGTTCTTTTTCAAATTTTTATAGCAACCTGTTATCGTTAAGTGGAGGCAGATATCTTCTCTAATTCATTCAAATACATTTTGAGCGCCTAGTGTGTGCCAGGCCCCGAGGAGTCAGCAGGGAACAAAACCTGATCCCTGCCTTTGTGCAGTTGATGTCCTTAGGGAGCAAAGGAAGTAAGAAATGAAGACACACACACACAGACACACCCACTCAGACGGTGTTGAGTACAGAGAAGGGTTGTGGGGAGGGGGAGGGGGATGTGAGTACCAGGGTGAGGGTGAGTGCTGTGTTATGGAGGATGGTTTCGGACGGCCTTGTGGATCATGTGACATTTTAGCAGAAACCTGACTGGGGTGAGGGAGTGAACTGTGTGAAAATGTAGGGAAGAGTGTTTTGGGCAGGGGGGGGCCTTGAGATGGACACACGCTTGTCATGTTTGGAAGCCAGCGGGGAGGCCAGTGCAGTACAGCTGGGGCAGAGGGGAGAGGAGGAGATTGGGAGGTCAGAGGTTAGAAAGGTAGCAGGTCATGTCACGCTGGGCCTGGGAGACCGCTTTGTTAACACTTCGGCTTTTCCTGTGAGTGAGCTAGGAAGCCACTGAAGGGTTTCGAGCAGAGAAGTGAACATGGTTCAATTTATGTTTTAAAACTACTCTGGTTCTTTGTGGAGAATGGTCTGTGGGGAACAGGCAGAACCTTTGGAGGTTGTTGCTGTGGTCCAGATGACAGATGACGGTGGCTAGGACAAAGGCAGGAGCAGTAGATGTGAGAAGTCGTGTGTTTCTAGATACGTATTTAAGGTAGAGCCAGTGGGACCTGCCTTCACACTGATCATGAGAAAGAGGAGTCAGGGATGGTTTTCGGGTTTTGGGGCCTGGGCAGTTGAGCTAGGGAGGACTGTAGCAGTCAGTTTGGATGGGGTGAGGAGAAGTTTGGGTTTGCATTTACCAGTGGCATGTTGAGTGTACGGTGGTGGAGGTGAGCCTGGCTTTCATGGACAAAGTCTGGCTTGAAGATGAGATGCCCTTACTTGGGGATTGTTTGTTCATAGATGGTATTTAAAGCAGTGAGACTGAGTTCACCAAAGGAATAACTGTAGAGAAGAAGTCTTGGAGGTCTTGGAGCCATAGTGCTTAATGGTTGGGAGGAAGAG